TGTGTGTGTGTGTGTGTGAGTGTGTGTGTGTGTGTGTGTGTGTGTGTGTGTGTGTGTGTGTATATATATATATACATATACATCAAACGTTACTCATATTTGAACTTTCTCATTTCTCTCTCAATGAAAAATACTTCTATCACCCTTGAAACGTTATTAACAAAGTTAATTTAAGTTTTTCAACGTTTTTTACGCGTGGAATGCAAACACAGTACATTAGTTACCACAAAAATAATGTTTTTTTTACATCTTTTAATAATATACATAAATAAACAAATTATATCCTATTTAATATAGTGTTAATTACTTTCAGTTTTACTTTAACTTTACCAATACAAACTATATTTAATGATGGTTGATATTCTATCAAATATGAAAATAAGAAAATACTTTTCACAATAATACATAACAGCACCTTTCATCTCAAAAATATGTTAAAATTTATAATAAAATTATTTTTGTAATAGATAAATATTATACAATTTTAGAAATGTGATAGAACGTAATATAACATGCAAGTTCATGTTTATTTTAATAATTGTTTATACGTACTCCTCCCACCTTATAAACACTTTATTTAATAACTGTTGATATTCATTCAAACATTAAATTAATAACCTCTTTTAATGATTATATACATAGCTGTACCTTTCATCTGAAAAGTTTAGAGTAAAATTATTTCTGTACTATTTAAATGTATAGATTTTAGAAATGTGAACCTATTGACTATAACATGCAAGGATATAACAGTCCTGACTTTAACATTTTTGAGAATAGGAAAGTGTATGTTCCCTAATTAACATATCCATGTTATTAGAATGGAAAGAAAACTACTAGAAAACATATATTTAACAAGCGATCTCTGACTTAGCCAGATCTTGTTTGCTAAATCACTCCCAGCCAGTTTAATCTGGGATAGTTATTTTTCCTGCAAGTTTGTCCAAATACAGCTTATTTTAAGATGACTTGAATGGTGTAAGGCAATTCTGAAAGAGAAGAAGCTCTTATGAAGCTATAGTGACCTATGCAGGGTTAATGGGAGTGATTTTTTGCTGAAAATTGGCTTTTGGTTATCAATTGTTCTTGTACAATTTCACTGAGAATAGATTTTTCTTCAAAAACATTTAAACCAATCATTACAAATTCCATATAAATGTCATAAGCATCATTTTCGAAACTAACAGGCAAGTTCAATGTCACAAAATGCTTGGAATGGTACCACTGCAGTAAGTGTGGATGCGACCATGATTAACTACCTGTGACTGTAATTATGGGGGCAAGGTATGCTCATTTTTTAGAAGAGATTGTTGCCCAAAAGCCACATATCAAGCTCTACCTATCTCTGTAATTTGCTTATGCTCTTCCACATTTTCCAGAATTTTTATTTTATTTTTTTGGGGGGGAGGGTGGGCTCACTCACTAAGCAAACTACTGTATGTTTCTCTGGTTAAGTCAGAAATTGTTTGTTAAACAAAGTAAACTGATGAAAAAATAAAACAAAAACCATAACAACCCTTTTTCCTCAAACTGAAGTACCTACGAAAAAATTAGAATTCCTCTTCAAAACAATTTCAACAGTCACATAAAAACATGTGTCTTCATTCACTCTCAGCTCCATGAATAGTTACCAAAAGTCTCCTGGAACCTTAAAAAAATGCAAATATCAGTTTAGGTTAAAAGAAACAAGTAAGAATTACAACAAAACATGACAGGAAAACACAAGTAAGAATTACAACAAAACATGACAGGAAAACACAAATAATAATTACAACAAAACATGACAGGAAAACACAAATAATAATCATAACAAAACATGACAGGAAAACGCAAATAATAATTACAACCAAAATGGCATCTTAGAAAATCAAACACTACAAGAAAACCTGGCAAAAAAAAGGACAAGAATAAACAACAAAAACTGATAGGAAAATCATGGATTTATTTTGACTATTTTTTTACTGTCTAGTTATTATGAAACTACACACTTTTCATATTTCATATCACAACTTAAGTTCTAGTTCCTTTTTAATATTATTCTGAGTGGCAAGTTTGCCATATTTCTATCATTTTCTTTGTTTTTATATTAACTCTTCCTAAAGATTCCTTAAACAGTTTTAAAATTTTATAATCTATCTTCAAAACCTTAAATATTAACAAGTTACCTGCTCTATCTCGATGTTCACAGAGCCATATTCCTTGCCAAGTGCCAATATTCAATGATCCTTTAGTTATAGGAATGGTTAAGCTAGAGCCCATAAAACAGGATTTGATGTGAGCTGGCTGAAAAATCAACAAAAAATAATTTAAAAAACAGACATATAAAAATATTAATTAAAATGAATGTTAGAATACACCAGTTATTCAGAGTAAAACTACAACTTTATTAATAATTACCCCTACTCCTTGATTCATTATGCACATTGACCATACTTTCTGCAACATTTGCTTTTGAAGATCCTAAAGTCTTCTTTCAGATTCTTCTTATTAAGGAAGAAGAATGAAAAAAATGGGAGGATTTTTTTTTGCATTTAAACAGATATCTTAAACTAATGGCTATTATCAAACTTTTCTATACACATTTTAAAATACAATGAAACTAAGTCAAAAATTTTAAAATAAATTTAGTGCCATTAAAACCAGACTAATGCAAAATTAATCTTTAGCATTTTTGTACACTTGTAAACAAAGTGTAAAAAATACATACAATTCTGGTGTATGAAACTTATCTTACTCATATCCTTACTCATAAACGTTTGTAACATATTCTTAAGTTGAATCACTACTGACGTAGTTAACATTTAACAAAATAACTTTAACTTATCAGTCTTGAGTGTACTATTTTAAGTGTTACTGTATTATTTGTAATAAAAAATCATCTGAGGAACTTTTTTACCTTATGTTAACATTAATACCACTTATTCAATGACATATATAATTTTAATGTTTTATTATGCATTTTCAGTAACTACAAACAATGGAAAATTTAATGGTCTTCACTCATCTTTATTATTTGCTTGAACTGTCACTTAAAAATACATATTCTTACCATGTCATCAGGACCTTCACAAGAATGTCTGAAAGGCATGCTCTGAAAGACAAAAAAATAGTAGTAACATACATATACATCTCAGGATGTGCTGCTGGAGCTACTATGAACGAACAAGTGTTTAAAACAGTTTCTCAAGTTTTTTACATTGTGGACCTTTTCACGAGAAGGTTAAAGGAGAAATTGGAAACTGTTCTAAATAGAGTAAAGGTTATGGAGACAGAGAAGGGTAAACTGTGGGAAATGGCAGCAGGATTTCAAGAGGAGTTTAAGCTTTTACATGCAAAGGTTACAGTGACTAATAATGACTTTCAAGAAGTTAAAACAGAACTATTAGGGCTAGTAACAGTGGATTTAATTATAATGAGCAAGTTCTGCTAAGTAACATATTTCAGCCTTTAGGGCTTGTGCAGATGATGAACTTGAGGTGGGAAGAATAACAATATACAGAATGGAATAAAAACATAAGGCAGTTATTGTTATAGGAGATTCTTTAGTAAGGCACATGAATATGATAGTCTGTTAGGTAAATAGGAAGAAAATAATTAGATTATGCCATCCAGGGGCAAAGGTGGAATATATAACTGACAGAGAAAGTGATATAGTAAAGGATGCAGTCTTTGTAGTGTACATAGGGGCTAATGATGTAGCAAAGGATAGGTCAGAGGAGCTTATTGTTATGTACAAGGCATTAAAAAAACAGGGCCATAATAACTAATTCTGTCAGAAATACTGCCAAGACTTAACTGTGTGGATGAAGTTATAAGTAGGCACTAGGGCTGAATGCTAGGCTTAAAGGTTAATATGTAAGGAAAAGCAGCTTGGCTGGTTGGATTTGTGGGATCATTTCAGTGGGAAAAAGAAGCTTTTTGGAAAGGATGGTTTACACTTAAATAGGATAGGAGCTGGCTTATTTGCGAGGATTATCAACTCAGCTATAAGGGCAACTTTAAATTAGGATTAGAAAGTGGAGAGGGCCAGAATAATGAAGAAACAATAAGATGTAGAGAGGGATACAGTGTGGGAACAATGTACAAAGGTAGTTTAATGGAAGGCTAAGCTGTTATTATTGTAAAGCTAGAAGTAAAAGAAATAAAATGGATGACTAAAGCATTGGTCAGAACAGAGGATTTGGATACAATGAGAATAACCGAAACATGGCTAAATGTAGACAATTTTGATGACAGGAATTTCTTTGAAATAAGTTATAGGTTATTTAATTGAGATAGAGTACTAAAGAGAGGGGGAGGAGTGGCTTTATATGTAAAATGTGAGATTCAGCCTGTTCAATTTGATTATATCAAAGCTAATAGCAATGAGGTTGAATCTACTTGGGTTTCTGATATTGGTTATAAGGGGAGAAAGCTTTTAGTTGGGATTTGTTACAGACCACCAGATGAAACTGATGAAATTAATGAGAAACTACAGTGAGATAAGGAATTCAACTGTTAATGAGGTTATTTTGGGGCATATAGATTGGGAACTGTCAGAGTCAAATAATTAGGAACACAGGCTTTTAGAAACTGTTCAGGATGGTTTTCTTCGACAATTAGTTGGGGAAGCTATTAAGAACAATGCAATTTTTAGATTTATTTTAATTTCTGATAAAGAAATGGTTGATAGGGTAGAGACTGCGGAACATCTGGGTGCAAGTGATCATTGCTAAATTAGATTCAATGTTTTGTTGCACAGAGAAACAAGGAATAATGAGATGGTTCCCAATTTTTAAAAAACTAATTTTGAAGCCATGAACTGAGCAACTTAATTAGTTGGAGATGATGATTAAATGTGGAAAAATTTTACAAATAAATTCTTAAATGTACAAGATAGGCATGTTCCTTATAGAGAAGAAATGGTGGCTGAGAGTAATAAAACCAGTTTGGCTTCCAAAAGATTTCATAAAGGATAAAATCAAAGAAAAACATTATGAATATAAGAAGTATTGACTGCAATAATGAGAGGCTTGAAGGATTATAGAAGAGCAAGAGAGTTGATAAATTAGGAAATAAAAAAAAGCATATGAAAAAAGGTTGTCTGAAAATGTAAAAATTAATAGTAAGAATTTCTTCAAATACATTAAGGGTAAGCAAAATGTTAGGATGGGAGTAGGGCCTTTGAGGGATGATACAGGAAGACTAATATCTGATGATTATGAGATGAATAAAATATTAAATTCTATTTTTTTCTTCAATTTTTCTAATGAACATTTAAGCAATATTCCCCATTCTGTTTCTTGATGGAAACAAGGTTGAACAAAATAATCACATTAATTCTGAGCTTGTTAAGAAAAAAATGGGAAGTTTAAAGAATGGTAATGCTTCTGGGCTAGATAATATTTACTCAATGGTTTGTTTGTTTTTGAATTTCGCACAAAGCTACACGAGGGCTATCTGCGCTA